TATACTTTATTAATCCCCTTCAATTTTTTTTTTCCCTCTGTTGTCAATTACACACAGGTCCGAACATTCACATGCACAAACAGGACCTATACATGCACTAAGTGGAGAGATGTCAGAGTGGGGCTGCCCATGACAGGCACTCCGAGCAGTTGGGGGGTTCGGTGCCTTGCTCAAGGGCACCTCAGCAGTGCCCAGGAGGTGAACTGGCACCTCTCCAGCTACCAGTCCACGCTCCATATTTTTTTGGTCCGGACGGGGACTTGAAAAGGTGACCCTCCGGTTCCCAACCCTGCTCAACAAGTCCCTATGGACTGAGCTAAGATAAAAACATTTCACAGTCAGCGTTTGAAGGGGCTAGCAAAATGGGGAAAAGGGTTGATAAGTCTATTTATGGTTTTGAAAAGTACTTTAGCATTATGCTGGTGTCTGGAGATTAAGGTGGAGAAGTAGTTGGCGCTTGCATCTTTCATTTGTTTATTGCAAGAAGTTAGAAGGTCCTTCATGTACAAAAGTGGACATGTTGTTTAGTCTTTCTTCACCTCCTTTCTGCTCCTCTGCACAATTCTTTTAAGACTCAGTAAGCTGTCAATAATCCAAGGAGAGTAACAACAGTGGCAAATTTACAAACAAAATTCAGAGTAATTTTTGAAACAACAAGTTTGATTTCAGAGGGGTATTGTTGGCTGTAGCTATCTCGCCAAATAACACTGTCACAAACATACTTTAAAATAATTTAACATGACACCTTTTAAAACATATACCCCATAAAAGAGGGTAACAGTATTCCTCTTGTATTGCAGTGTAGAACCAGTTAGTGCTGGTCTATATTTATGGGAAAGATCCAACTGTTTACACACTGACAAAAACATGTTTGGCTGCTTTGCTTACTTAAATATCCAACTGCTAATATATATGTTGGCATATTCAAACAGTATGTTCTCACTTTCAATGTAACAAGAGAAAAGGCTTTTGGGATGAGAACTGACTGATGTGTTTGGCAAACATAACTCTATATCAGATATCACTGGCTGTAGATTTTAATAATGGTTCCTGAATAGCATCACTTGTAGCCCTTAGAAAAAGTCATATGAAAACTTATTCTGTATTATAAAATGTCTAAAGTATATAACCTACATTTCCTACACCTTTGACAGGACCATTTGGGTCAATTTCGGATTTTTTTTGTATTCAAAATACAGTAAAGATTCAGAAAAAGGGTCTTGAAATTAATTCATAAATATTAAGGGTACACACACACACACACACACACACACACACACACACACACACACACGCACACACAGTAAAACGCACGAAAAATGCTTATACTGAAACTGAGACAAACCTTTTTATTTCATGTTGTCACAAGCTTTTACAACAACTTCAACTGTCAACTTTTATTGTCCCCAAAAGACAACTGGTTTTACACCATAGAGTGCAATATGACATGATCCCATTATTGTAAGACAGTGCCTCAGGTGGTTTTATTGTACATAGTTTGGCAATCAAGATGATAGCCGTTTTGCTGTAGATCAGGCCTTAAACTGGAGAGCTGCGGAGGTAGAACAGATAGCAATACACGTGAATATACAGCATACAAAATACAAGATTTTTTTTTTTTTTTTTGTCCCTGTGAATGTGTGAAGCACTTAAGTTTGGCTGACACGATCCTCACTAATGATCTGTGTATAGTTTTCTCTTGAGATTAAATGTTACCTTACATTATATTATAAACAAATGTTGCTCAGCCAAGTGCTCATAATGACAACAGAACATTTAATAAATATGTCACAGATGGCTCTGCGTGTATCATTTTGTGTGGTCCCATTGAATATAATTGTCCCTGGAGTATTACACATTAAATAACTAAATAACCTTCAGAGGACAAGACATGGTGATCACTGAGAGAGTTTTTGCTATCATTGTTACTTATATTTCTTGCTATCTCTGTTTGCTCCTTTTGACAGATAAATTGTTTTACGATATGAGTGGTGTAATCATACGCACATCACATAAGAAGTGTCTGTAGGCGTCAGTCATTTCACAAATAAATTAACTGAAAAATAAGAGAAGACAATTTGTATACTTGTGACTTACAGGCAGGATGTCGTGAGGGGTTCTGACTTCACAGCTTATTAAGCACTTGCCGCTGCGTCAGCTGCGTCAGCTGCGTCAGCATCGTCGCTTGAGTCTGAGTCATCGTCGCTGGCTGCCGCCGCAACTGCGTCAGCGTTGTCGTCAGAGTCATCATCAGAGTCGTCATCAGAGTCGCTGGCTGCCGCTGCACCTGCGTCAGCATCGTCGTCAGCATCGTCATCAGAGTCATCATCAGAGTCATCATCAGCGTCGCTAGCCGCCGCCACATCATCTACATCAGCGGAGGTCATGTTGCTTGCCACCTCATCTACGTCAGCAGAGGTCATCATGCTGGCCACATCATCTTCGTCCAAGCTGCTCAACGCGTCATCTGTGTCAGCAGAGGTCATGTTGCTTGCCACCTCATCTGCGTCAGCGGAGGTCATCATGCTGGCCACATCATCTTCGTCCAAGCTGCTCAACACGTCATCTGTGTCAGCGGAGGTCATGTTGCTTGCCACCTCATCTGCATCAGCGTCATTCATGTTGCTCACAGCCAGGTCCTGAATGTCAGAGTCGGACATTGCATCGTCGACAGTGACGTCTTTGAGCGCCTTGTCTATTGCAGGGCCGTTCTTGGCAATAGCATCGTCCAGAGCCTTTTCATCTGTAGATGAAATTGCATCCATAAATAAAAGACAGTTAGTCAAACTGTTGTCTGTAAAGAACTTGACAAGTTCTGTAATTGTTTTAAAAATTGCACAAGACACTGACTGACTTCCTAACATACATACAGAAATATGGAATTGCATCAATACATGAGACATCTGGTGCACATATCACACTACTTCAAATATTATGACAACTATCACATTACATTAGTTCATCTAGTTACCTGGGTCTACTGCAGCAGCCTTTTTGGCTGGTGCTGCTGGTGCTGCAGTGATCACAGCCACCAAAGCAAAGGCCAGCACCAAAATTTGGATCTTCATTTTCTGAAAGAAATCATAAAATCTTACATAAATACTATCAAACGGTCTGTGAGCATTTAAGTAACTGACTCTGTTGGGTTTGTGGAAGGAGTGAAATAAATGTACTGGACTCACCTTCAGTTTGCAGTTGCTCTCAGGTCCAAATGACTTCAACTCGAAACAGGAGTATTCTGACTGTCTGACTGATGCACCTCAAATTTATACCCTTTTGATCTACATATGTTTGTGTACAGTAAGTACAGCATCCAATGAAGAGTTTCCAGGGTTTGCTAGTCTATGACAAACAATGCCAGAAGGTTTATGACATAATGCAAAGACACTTAAAGTCAGTCAAGGATCAAGACAGAACAGAACCAGTTTGGATTATCTGGTGCTAATATGGTGTTAAAATGCACTAGAATACAGGAAATGGCATCTACTTAATTGAAAAGGGATTTATTTCTTTCATATATCCATGTCTCTGTGTGTTCTTCACAATCCAACATTGAATCTACACAGTTCTCATGGGTGCTGATCCTAACTACAAACTAACTTGAGTAGTCTGTCTAGTTAGTCTGTTTTAAAGCTATATAATGTGCCATTTGTATAACATATAAACATGTCTAAAGTGCCCTCGAAAACACGCGGAACTTAGTGGTCTTCTTCAGTGGCGAGAACGCGCTGTATGTGCCCTTTTTTTTTTCTTATCGCCCCTGCCCTGAGTTTTAGACACTCATAATCTTGTTTTTCAAATATTTGTTTTTCAACTCTTACTCTAATCTGGCTAACATCCCCAGGCTCAGGTAAGTTTGCTGATTAACTGACCAACTCAGCAAACAACTGGTTTCCAATGAGGGTGTGGAAGCTGCAGTGTGCTCCTGGAATCATTTCTTACTTTTTCATTGCTAACAATTATTAATAATATAATAATTAAGGCTGCAAGTGGCATTTACAGGAGTCTAAGCAAACTGCAAGCATCTGAATGCTTGTTTCTTTTTTTAATTGACAAGAAGCAAAACTCTTGTCCTTTAAAACTGTTTGTGGTGGTCATCACTAAATGCTGACACTCTTTTGACGTATTTAAATCTACTCCCAGAAAATGTGGCTTATGACCTTCAGTGAAAACATGTTTCACATGACTACATTTGTACTGATTTTTTTTTTGTTCAAGATCTGAATACATACCATGTCTTTCTCTCACATGGCAAGGAAAGTTGCTGTTGCGACAACGCCACCTTAAGAGTTTCACCCAAGGAAGTTATTAATACTGCTTAGGCTACTAAAGCCTGGTCCATGCATACATGACTGTTTGTTCTCTGTCCATTCAGCTACTGCTATGCCTGTCTTACCATTAAACATGGGACATTTATAGTCCCTAGGTATGACAATCAGCTGCTCTGGTACAGAGACTCTTGTACATGACCAGCCGGAGCAGAGCAGCCGCACCACAACCTGCGAGTGCGGCTGCTCTGCTCCAGAAGAAGTCGTTCGTTCTCCACCTTGAGCTGTAACACTAGGTCCCTGAGATGCTGCACCTCCTTCTCCATGGTGACTGAGGGAAAGCTGTGCCAAAGACTCTTAAAATGATATGAAAAGAATAACTGCTGCTGTCTTGGCTCTACCACTAGGCTACACATACAATACACAAAATGTAATGCAGTATAACACAATATTGAAAGAAAAAAAGAAATACGAAAAAACAAACAAATGTCCAACCGGGAGGAGACCTTGGGGCCGCCCCAGGACACGCTGGAGGGATTACATCGCCTGGCTGGCCTGGGAACGCCTCGGGGTTCCCTTGGATGAGCTGACAGAAGTGGCTAGGGAGAGGGCTGTCTGGGCTTCTTTGCTGATGGTGCTGTCCCTGCAACCCCGACCTGGATAAGCAGAGGACGACGATTCTGAGTACGAAACAAAAAAAACACATCTCTACCCTTTAAATGTGGAATCCGACAATGCCAGAATATGGCGTGGGGGAGGCGAGGAAAGTTGCTGTTGCAACAATGCCACCTGGGGAATTTCACCCAAGGAAGTTATTAATGCTGCTTAGGCTACTAAGGTCAAACAGGTTCAAATGAATCCATAGGTACAGAGACGTGTTACCATAAGAGCAAATTTATTTCACTAAACAAGGTACAATGTAAAGCTAACATGTCACTAACACCAGGATTTTCTTAAAACCTAATCAATGTGAACAAACTTATAAACACTAGCACATAGGCAGGGGAATGTAGGGGAGTGAGAACAGGGGCTTTCCACAGTGGCAGGGAATCAAAAAGGGAGAGGGTTTCACTAACCAACCACCTGTGACACTGCACACCAACAAAAAAGGAGACTTTGAGAAACATCACCACCAAGGAATTGGACTGCCGCCCTACACCCGCAGCACCTGTCAAAAGAGGGAAAGAGAGTGGTTGAAACACTGACATGAGGTGCTAAAGATAATCCTGGTGGAGAGACAAACAGAAGACAACACAGTGGTCAGTATATATAAAACTTACCCACACTGTATGCAAACATACACTCACACTCAATTGACCAGTATTAAACCCAAACCTACATATACAAATTTACAGAATCAATACTCACTCAAAAATACAAATTAACACAATGAATTACACATTTAATTCAAACTAAGGCTGAAACAATATATAAATTAACCCATAAGAAAATATATATCTATAACTGTGTTTAAAATAAATTGGGGCAGTCAGGCCCAGCCTCCAGGGGGGGAACACCCACACTCGTGGCTGAGGGGCTTCACAGTCAAAACATCAAGCAGCCACGTTGCAGCAGTACAAGCCAAAGCAGCCGGGAGCCAAAACCACGGCAAGCCGAAACAGAGGGCTAACGAGCCAAAAGACAGCAGCAGATATTAGGGTGCAGGCCATGCACTGCAGCCAATGAGCCAAGGTGCAAAGGTCCGCAGCTCAATCATGCACATGTATGTAGAGGTATGGAGTCCACATAAGCCGCCTGAAAGGAAGAGAATGTCAGAGGACCTTTAGAAAGATTACTGTATTCATATTTGCCTGATGTATTCTTGAACTGAACCACACCCATAGAGTTCTGTGTGGAGCGATCCGTCTCCCCCACTACCAGCTGCCAGCCACACTGTGTGAATGAGGAGAGTGCCAAAAGTGTGCCACGATATCAGCCACGTCGTCAACCACGCCAAACAAAGGCTCCACTGCACCATGCTGCACCACCACAGGGAGATCAGATGGAGATGAAGGAGAGAGGGCGAGTGTGGCAGCCCACCTGGATATATAGGTGCACATGGCGCTGCCCAACAATAAGTGTGCCAGTAAGCTTGGCACAGTGCCATGCAGTGGCGAGGAGGGAGATGAACTCTCGCTACACTAGGTCTGTCCGGCAGCTTCCCCCGCCATCTGATCCAACTCATTGTTTGGCCTCGGATGTTCTGGTACCAGTTCCCCTCATAAACCTCCCTGTCCTCAAACATGGTGTTTGTTATGGCCAATCCATGACTAGCACAGAGGTCCAATAACAAAATACCACTTGGGTTCAGGTCAGGCAGGCTGTTCCTCCCAATCACCCCCCTCCAGGTTTCTCCGTCATCGCCCATGCCAGCATTGAAGTTCCCCAGAAGAATTATGGAGAACCCAGACGGCACCCCTTCCAGGACAGCGCCCAGAGACTCCAAGAAGGCCGGGTACTCTGTACTGCTGTTCATTCTGTATGCACAAACAACAGTCAGAGACCCTCTCTTAGCAACCCGCAGTTGCATCAAGGAGACCCTCTCATTCTCTGTGGAGAACTCCAACACTGCGACGCTCAGCCGGGGACTCGTGAGTATCCCCACACCCGCCCAGTGCCTCTCACCCTTGGCAACCCCGGAAAAGGCGAGAGTCCAACCCCTCTCCAGGAGTTTTTTTTTTTTCCCCAGAACCAGTGGTGCGCGTGGAAGTGAGCCCAACTATATCTAGTTGGTACCACTCCACATCCCGCACCAGCTCCAGCTCCTTTTTCCACCAGAGAGGTGAAGTTCCACATTCCTAGAGCCAGTCCCCGACACCAGGGATCAGCATGCCAGGGGCCCTGCCCTTGCCTGCTACCTGGCACACAATGATCCAGACCCTGATTCCTGTCCCTACAGGTGGTGGGCCCACAGGGTGACGGCTCCATCTTATTTATTCAGGCTGCGGCCGACTGGGCCCTATGGCCCAAGGCCCAGCCACCAGACAGTTGCTGGTGAGCGCCGTCCCCCAGGTGTCCCCATACCAGGTGAGGTGCTCAGAGTCCAAATATGATTTTTCATCAAGGTCTTCTTGAATCACTCTTAGTTTGACTCCTCCCCTGGGACCACTTTGCCTTGGGAGACCCTACCCGGGGCTATTTGCCCTGGACAACAAAGCTCCCAGGTTCAAAGGGAGATGCAAACCCCTCCACCACGTTAAGATGGCAATTCAAACATTTATTTACATAATGAATTTTACTGACCTACTTGAAACACAGTGTTCAAAATGTTAAATGCTATTACACACTTTTTTGTTTTTTTGTTTTTGAATAAGATTAATTTGCAAATCAATATATTTTTTTAAACATGATTTTTAGAATAAGTATTTTCACAGATAATGTAAATATGATGTGGCAAATAAGCGATTTAATTGCCTGCAGGATCCCAAAGCATTCCTAGGCCAGATGAGATATACACAGTAATCACTATTCTTACTTCATCTTCAAAACATCTCTTGAAATTTAAATAATGATTTAATTTACTCTTCAAAATTATTCTTCCTCTCTCACTTTCCAATGTCTCTCTGTCTCTCTTGGGTAAATCTTTCTGCACTGGTCATGCAGTTCTAAAATGTTCATGTAGTGAGTAATTTATGGTGAACCAGCAAAAATATCCATATGTATAATTAATGCATTATCATGCGTATTACTTATTCATGGTGCCCTGCTAACATTGGCAAATTCTCCAGCACCCTCTTGTTGCTGTGACCCCTTATTAAACAGAGCATTGGCATGCAGTCATTTATCTGTTGTGTTAAAGCTGTAATATACTGTTAGTTTAAAACATGATTAGCATCAGCTCCTAGGTCACCAAGAGTCGATTTCAAACAAGGGCAAAGGTAAGATACCGGAATATTTACTGTGACTCCTGGTGTGTTTGTGTAACGATTACAAGAATGTATTCTGCTTGCAGCGTAATGACTAAGAACATTTACCAGAATTCAGGGTTTGAGGTGACCGCCCCTTCCAGTATTCACAACTCCTAAAATAAACGCTGTCATATCAGACAAAATGAAGGTGTTTTGAGAAA